TTAGCTATTTTCATGTCATACTCATAAATATCAAGCAATTTACCTTTTCCTTCTTAGATCTTAGAAAGAGATTGAGAGAATTGGATGAGAGAACTTTACATTATAAATTTTTCTCGGAACATAAAATAGTTATAATAAGTTTTCAAATATTATTTGAAGTACCTGTCAGGTTTAGGAAGTATTTTCATTAAATTATAATAATTCTTATTTTATATATTTTGTATATTTTTCTTAAACTTAATAAAGGAAAGTACTGATATTAGTTGATTATTCTGTGTATTGCTATAATGTAGCTTTTGCTATTACATATCAGTGAAAACAATCTGTTTCAACAAGAAGATAATCAGTCTTTTTATTTGACTTAACTAATTAGGGATTTGAAACATGTATTTCTTGGGACACTAGGTGGCCTCAATTGTTTGTTACAAGGAACTACATGTTAAGTTTTGTAGAAAATGTAAGTATGTTTTAGCAGTATAAAAGTTGTAATGAACAAATTAAATGAAACAACAAATGAACAAAATGAAAATAAAGTGAACGAAGTAAGACATTTGTGTTGTACTGCATTGTTAAAATCTTATAACAATAATTTCTTCCTTGGGGTAGGGGACAAAAAAAATTTGTGTCCTTGTTTAGAAAAGCCCTATATGTTGAAGATGAATGTCCTTGGTTTTTCTCTGATCTCTCACTAAAGGTGTGTTCTGTGAACCATTTGAGACTCATCTGAGGATTGCTCCAAGCTTGTGCTGTATTTCAGTGTTTGTTGACTCAGACAGCTTTATTTTCATCATGCAGATTTCTTAGCCGTGTAGCTAAATGTCCTTTACTGCCTTCTTTTCCTACCTAGAGCTTCTGTTGAAATGTCCTTGCTAGGTTATATTTTAGGAATGCTTTTTTTCTTGGTCATAAAATGGCCAAAGTTTGAAAATGAGCCTTTGCATTAAACAGAACAAGTTGGAATTTGTAATGGACTTTTTCAGGAATAATGGCACAAGACTCTGGGCAAAAGAGATCTGGGTGACTATTTAGGGATGTTAGGGGTCTTCTGACTAGGACTTTTCAGGGGTAATATGATTCCACACGGATGTGCACCTTTGACTTTGATTGACTAGGCTCTTTTACAACTGTATGTGGGAGAAGTTAACCTGAAGAAAACTGATGGTAATAGACTCTTGTCCATAGGGATTCAAACACATATTGACAGGTTGAGATAAATGATTTCTACTTTGATTCTTGCCCCTTAGAAAGAAAAGATAACCCTCTCAAATTGAATTTTATTGGCCAGTGGCAGGGTTTCTCAACCTTGGGCACTATGAACATTTGGGCTGAATAATTCTTTGTCATGAGGGGCTGCCCTGTGCATTGTAAGACATTTAGTTGCATCCCTGACATCTACCCACTAGATGCCAGTAGCAACTTAGCTAAAACTACATCTGTGTTGGCTCATATTTAATTGGCTCTGACTATTTTACTAGTATCTATTCCTCACGACCAGAGAAAATTTAATGATTTACTGCTATTTGTCTTACTGCATTCATTTGCTTTCTAGTATTGATTTCATTTACATCGAGATTAAGCTATGTCTTCCCTCAGATTTTAGAGAATGTTGATGGAGGATGGTGTGACTTTGGTGTGTATAGTTCTACTCTTCAGGGGTCAGGGGTGTTTCTCCAAGTGCCTGTTTATGCCTCACTTTGCAGAACTTGTGCCCCAGTCTTTACCAGGATGTTGTAGCTCATGAGCCACGGATAGAAATGGGAGGCATCTGCAACTCAAGGAAGTTTCTGTTAATTTAGGAGGTTTCAATGATTAGAAAGTTCTAGTACAGCATTTAAACTTTCCAGAAGTAATGAGCTATAAAAATTAAGGTACTTTCCACCATTTAATTCATCAAGGCTCCATGACCCTAAAATAAAGACAGATAAAAGTGTTAACTTTTCTTTCCATGGTCCTCTTTTACAGTTTCTTAACTTCAGGCATACCTGACACCTGGCTTTTTTGTTATTCCACTTTTCATTTTAGGTTTTTTCAGTTAGTGGCCACCCCAGAAAACCAAGGCAGGGAAGAGTTTTTAAGGGACTTAGGGAGACCTAATTACAACTGTCTTGTTTTTATTTTCTCACCAGAGCAGAAACCTTTCCACTTGTTGCTTTAGTGTTCTGGGTTGTTTAGTTCTTGCTGGTTGTGGTTTATGTGCATTTTTAAATGTCTCTTATTGCTAACCTGGTCATGTCTCATAAAGAGGCCTAAATATTAGCTTTTAAACAAATCTTTCCAGTTGGAAGAATATCCCTGCTAATGCAACTTCAGAAACAAACCTGCTGCTTAGGAAAAAGTTTAAGGGAGTCAGTGTAATTGATCTCAAGCTATAATCGGTTTTAGGGGAAAAAATTGCAAATGTAGACCCATTTAAATGATAGCATAGGAAATACGGAACATTAACCTCCGGGCTGGCATGTTTTTCACCTATGTCACCTTGTAGTACTGGGTTTCCATAGCTTGCTACCTGCTGCGTATAAGTATTATTTTTATTTGTCCCTAGTAGACTCCTTTCTTCAGGTCTCAGATGCTCACTTATTCTGGAATCCTTATAAGATTTGGTAAATTCACTGTATCGGTATGAAACCTGCTCTGTGCCTCAAAATACTTACAGTTGTCAGTCTCTCCAGCTCCATTTCACAATCCCCAAAACCTCAGTCATCTATAGCTGTTGCATTTTCTCTGTGCTTCATGTTAATATATCTAAATCCCACCACTTCTTGCTTATTTACCACCCATACCATAATCCTAGCCACCATCATCTCTGGCCTGGATTTTCGTAATTGCTGTAACTTCTTGCTTGTGTCCCTGATTCTCACCTGTCCCTAGTCTGTTCCTAATTCAGCAGCCAGAATAATCCTTTAAAAATGTAAGTCTGATTGTGTCAGCCCTGTTCAAAACCCTCCACTGGCTTCCCATCACTTTCAGAATAAAAGACAGCCTACCTGATCTGGTCACTGCTTCCCCTTGGATCTCATTTGCACTTGCTGTTCTTCCTGCTGACTGGCCCCAGGAAAGCCACATGGCTGCTTAGAGCCTGTGCCTGCATCTGCGAATGGGAATCAGAAAGCCTCTCCTCCCTTGCCTACCTCATATGGTTATTGAGAGCCTCAGATGTGTTCCTTCACTGTCAGTTCTTGTTATTGACTTATATAGTGCTAGGAATGGTTGGGTTTTCCCCAGCACCCATGGGTTTTGTTTGGGTTGGGGGAGGGTTAAGGAAAACCAGTAGAAACCTTTGCCTAGCCCACTGGTTGGAAGGAAAGGAAAGAGTGGAGTCTGACAACTTGGTCCCTGGGAAGGGCCTTCTGCAGCTACCCAGGTACCACATCTGATTGTCACACAGGGGAAGCAGCTAGGGCTGCAACCGCTGTGGAGTTCCTGTGGTAGCCAGTGAAAACCTGACAGCTCCAATATTTCCTGTTCTTTTGTGTTAGAGCAGAATTGTGGTCTCTATTTAGGTCAAATCCCAGTAATAGAAAATCCAACGGTCTATTAAATCTTCTTTTGAACTATATTATTGTATAAAATATTGACTTGAAAAAACAAGGTCACTAGCTACAAATATAATTTTCTTTTTTTTTAAAGATTTTTTTTGGTGAATTGGGGGATGGGAACAGCACTGGGGAATTGGGGGAAGGGGAACAGATAAGTTGCTGTCCTTTTGTTCTTCAACCTAGTTGTGGAGGACGTTGCTTCACTGGCCCAAGTTGGCACCATCATTGCACTCTTCCCAGGCGAGGCAGATCAGTCGCCGGCTTCTGGACGGCTGCTCACGCTGGCTGCTGGCTACACACAGCAGCCCATGGTAACCCACTGCCACAGGGGCTGCAGCCTATGCCATTGCCGGCAACTCACAGCAGCCCAGCTCCAGGTTGAGCTGCTGTTCAGCATCTTAGCTGTGGAGGGCAGTGTCACTGGCCCTCATATGTGGGATCCGAACCGGGGCCCTCTGGCGTCCCAAGCCAGTTCTTAACCATCGCGCCACTCGGCCAGCCCTACAAATATAATTTTAAAGTCTTAGGTATTACTTCTTGTATCATTCAACATCCTTACATTTACTAGGCTAATCCAAATAACCTATGTCTTGTGGACTCCTGTGCCTTTTTATACTAGTTGTTTGTAAAGTGTGGAGAATTGGAGAAGGAAGTAACCAAATTAGAATGAAGGCAGAGATGCTGGCTAATGTCTGTGGGTGCACTGTTTGTATGTCAGGTGTAGATAATGTGAAGAAAGGCAAAAGACAAAACTGATTCTTCACGAGAGTCAGATCCTGTCCATGTTCATGGCTGTATCATACCTGGGCAAGGTTAGATGATTTTGAATATTTATTTATGGATGTAATTTAATGTACTTGATGTCCTATTGTATTGTTGAGAAGTTGTACGTTGGTAAATGGATTAATCATTGTTTCACAAGAGATTATGCTTTTAACCTTGTGTTAAATTTTTTGGTAAGGAAAATTCTTCTGTGAATTGGATATATATATAATATATCTAATATTCAGGGATTCAGGGATTATCGTTCAGCCCTATGTGGATACCCTGTAATTATCCTACTATGATAAGCAGAAGGTGTGAGCTCAAGTTCCGCCCTGCAAATCTTTTTTCATATAGGACCTGGAGAGTGGCAATGATGAAAAAGATGAGGATTAGCAGCCTTCCAGAAGTGATGGTCCAAGTTTTTGTTTGCTCACTGTATGATTTTGAATGCTGTCAACTAGTGTGTTTTAAAGTAACTGTCCCCATAGCCCCATGGCCCAGTCAGTGACCGTAGGCATTAGTAAAGATCCACATCTACTTGAGGCCTGAAAAACTGATGGGCAGTACGTGGTACATATTATACCAGATAATGACTACTCAGTGAAGGCGTTTTTAATTTAAAAGAGAAATCCATCTAATAGTCCACATCACTTTTCGTGCTTGAAACATTGTTAATTCCAACCTTTCCTTTTCCTCTAGGAAAATAAGGGAGAAGCTAAAGAACCAAGTCACTCAGATGAAGGAACAAGTACCTGATTTCACACCAGGCCTGGCAATTTTGCAGGTATTCCGATAGTATATTTCCACCCGTGTCCGTCTTCCTCAATCTCTCAATAGCACATAAGACAACAAGCACTTCAGACCTTGCTCTCCATTATGTATTTATTAATTTTGGCTTCTGTGAAGCCTCAGACCTTTGCAGCTTCTCTTTGCAGACTCCTCCTCTTCAGCTCAACTTCTAAATGTTGGCATATCCTGGCCTCCTGCTCTTCTCTGTGGATACTCATCCCCTGGTCCAGTATCTGTTGAACTTTGGCCTTAGGATCCCTTTACGCTCTTAAGGAGCTTCTGTTTATATAGAATTATCTCTCGATATTTACTGTATTAGAAATGAAAGCTAAGAGGTTTAAAAACATTTATGCATTTAAAAATGCCAATAGTAGGGTCATTATGTGTTAACATAAGTAACATTTTTTATGAGAAAATAACTTTTAGAAAATAAAATATAGTGAGAGGAGGGGCATTATGTTACATTTTTGCAAAACACTTTACTGTCTTGCTTAAGAAGACAGCTGGATTCCCATCTGTGTCTGCATCAATCTCTTGCTATTTGCTAGTTTGATTGAAATGTATAGAAAATATGGCCTCACATAGATGTATATTTGTAAAAGGGAAGATAAATGGACATTTCTTTTTTATAGTACTCCAGGACTCATTAAGTAAAAATTTTAAAGGTTAGTTGCAACTCATGGAATCGGAAGCTGTACCTTTGAACTTTCATACTTTGTTGCATCAAAATCTGTGTTGCAGTTTGAATGAAGGACATAAAAAAAAACATGCATGGGTTTTTTTATGTCCTTCATTCCTCATTTGGAAAATAATGGCTCACTAAATTATGTAGGTCTTCCAAATGTTAACACATTTCATTATGCTGTATAAAAAAATCATAATCATTAACATCACTAATGAACTCATCAGAAACTCTTTTAATTATTGAGAAGTTGTCAGGCTCACAGGAGTGGATAAAAAATTCTAATTTTTGCTTGAAAACTGAAATTTTATCATTGGCAACAAATACTGTTAGTTATTTCCCTTCAAGTAGCAGGCTAACTTTGTCCGATGTTGAGAAGATATTGCCAAATATTCAAAGCTGAAGAATTTTGTTTGTCAGCTGTTCTTTCAAGATGGTGTCCCATTTAAAAATGCAGCTAGTTCAGCTTGCAAGGCAAAAACGCACAGTGCTTTTCCTGGTGACAACCGGCATACTTTTATGTGCAGCAGAAGTGCTTTATGAGTGCTTCCCAGTTCCTTACACAGAATATTATATACTCTTGGGTCAAAGTTTAATAACATTCATGGTTTTTACTGCTTCAGCAAGGGCACATCTAAGTGAACCTGGCATCTGTTTTTACTGAGAATGTGTGGCAGTGAATGAAACCCTCTTGAAGAGAATCGTTTGGTGCCACTGTCTTGATTCGTGCCAAGTCACCAGCGGTCTTACCATTACTTTTGCAGCCTCAGTACAGATGTCAATACAGTAGAAAAGGTGAACAGCATCACAATATTATTAGGAAAATAGTATGGCACTCGCAGATCTTCTGAAAGGGCCTTGGGGTTCTCCCAAGAATGCATGGACCGCTTGGAGAACCATTGCCCTAGGCAATTGCGTCTGGCCCCAAATATCAGCTGTAGGCCAGTAACTTCTGTACCTGGATCACTTCTGAGTTCTGGACCTTGGGTTTCTGGGACATCACTTGTTTCCCTTCTGTCTCTAATCTTTTTTGCTTATTGTTCCTCATCTCTCTGAGGAACAGGGATCTCCTGTTCCCTCCTCATCTCATCTAAACAGTTTGAATGCCTCAGGGCTCAGCCCTCAGACCACTTTTTCATCTTATTCTTTCCCTAAGTGAGCTCACCCAGTCTCATAGCTACATGGGAGAGTGTGTCCTAATTTAGGCCTCTATCCAGGGCTTCTCCCCTGAACTCAGTTCATTGTAGGAGGCCTTCAATAAATAGGTAGGAGGCATTCAAAAAATATCTGTCTTATGGACAGATGTACAAAAAATGTTTGAAGGGTTAATTTGGATGACAGGAAACTGATAGCTTTCATTTGAAATTCTCTTCAGAAATACCTGCTTCCTCACTTCACATTTCTTTCTTTCGGTGTGTCTCCACATACATCATGTAATCCCTTGCTAAGTTTCTGTTCAGTGTTCAAGAATTTCAGAGTGACTAGTACTTAACTATTTCCCCCCGTTTCTGTTCATTATCTAAGAGGCGTTAGCTGAGAAGAAAAACACAGAAGGCCTGTTGTTCTGCATGGTGTGTTCGCTGCTGTGGTGGCTTTTTACTTTTTATGCAAATTAGTAAGAATCAAAGGTATATGTTGTGGGTGTACACTTGGTACATCTGGGGACCAGTTATTTCTTGGTTTATTCTTGTGAACCGTTTGTTGTAGAAAGAGTATATGTCACAGACAAGAAATCTGTTTCTGTAAACCTTTCCTTAGCAACATTGGGATTTTTTTTTCCTGTTTTTAAGTTTGATTTCTAAACTCGTTTTTGTTTTTGTTTTTAAGATTTTTATTGGGGAATTGGGGGGATGAGAACAGTGCTGGGGAATTGGGGAAGGGGAACAGACAAGTTGCTGTCGTTTTGTTCTTCAGTCTAGTTGTGGAGGACGTTGCTTCACTGGTCCAAGTTGGCACCATCATTGCGCTCTTCCCGGGCGAGGCAGATCAGTTGCTGGCTTCAGGACGGCTGCTCATAGCAGCTGCTGGCCACTCACGCTGGCTGCTGGCTACACACAGTAGCCCATGGCAACCCACTGCAGCAGGGGCTGCAGCCAATGCCCTCACCGGCACTCAGGGCAGCCCAGCTCCAGGTTGAGCTGTTGTTCAGCATCTTAGCTGTAGAGGGCAGTGTCACTGGCCCTCATATGTGGGATCTGAACAGGGGCCCTCTGGCGTCCCAAGCCAGCTCTTAACCATCACGCCGCTCGGCCAGCCCTAAACTCGTATTTTAAATTTGATTGTGTTTTTGCTTGTATAAACACTGTTCTGCAGCTATGTCTCCTATGTTCTTGCCAATAAAACAGTGGTAGAACATTTTAATCTTGTACTTTAGCACCAGAGTCAACATCTTTCTGTGATGCAAGGCTTACACATATTATGTTGTAATTGTTGACCTTACACAAATAGGTAGCCAGATATTTCTCCAGCAAAATGTGTTATTCAGAATAACAAAGAATTGTAATTTGGGACATGCAGTCTTATGGTGAACGGCCTGCAAGTCAGAAAAACAAAGGAGAGCGGAACCTCTTTTAGGGATGGGGGAGGGACTGTTGTAAAAGAAGAGTCCATTGGAGGAAACTGAAAGTTCAAAGTATAGTGACTTTTCATTGGCTGAGTTATGGCAGTCTCCCATTGGTAATGTGTGACAGTATGTGGCCTGGAAAACCTAAAATATATATTGTCTGGCCCTTTATGGAAACAGCTTGCAGACTCCTGGTGTAAAAAAAGAAATTGTCTCTAACTTGTTCTAGGATGAGACCTTCTTTGGATGATGTAATTCACCTCCTTTAAGGAAGAAATTAACATTCTGATAAAAAACTTAAGTGATTTTCTTGATAAATTATAATGGGATTAAGATTTGTTCTGGGGAACCAGTCTTCCACTCACCCACTTGACTGTCAGTCAAGAATCTACTGCTCTTCAACTAAGCATCCTTTTTGCATCTAGTCTATCAATGATTGTATAATCATTTCCCCTATAAAATGCCTATCCTGAGAGTGAGTCTTTGAATTGGCTAAAAGGTCTTTCCCTTTGCATTAGGATTATAATGAAACTTTGACATATGCTTATAACTATAACTGTTAAGCTTTCTTTTTAAAACTGGTGGCAGTTTTGCAGTTTTAGAAAAATTCCTTCAGAAGTATTCAGACAGAACACAGTTCTTATACAGGAACAACAACAAACGACTTCGGACTTATATAACACTAGATGCCAAAGACAACATTTCTGAAGGAAAGTGTTGTGACTCCAAATTCAGCCAAGTGAGTTCAAGTGCAAGGACAGCAGAAAATATTTCGACATAAGTAAAGTCCAAACCTGTAGAGAATTTTTATGTGTTTATTTGAACCAAACTGATGACAGTTGCCGGGAAGCAAGATCTCAAATGCTTCGGAGAACAACAGTTTTGCAGTTTCTTTTATGCCTTTGAAATTGAGGAAATGAATGGGAGGAAGATTACACGAAGGTGAGAGAAAGCAAGGCGGTAATTGAATTACAAGGTAATTAATATTATGTGGTATTACTTCTGGCATTTCAAAGGTGTGTTAACCTACATGCACAAAAACAATGGACAGGGCTCGCTTAAGGCAAAGATAACCTTGTACTAGGGAAGTTACAGGCCTGAGGTGTGACTACCCATCTTGACCTGCCCAGTTAGGAATTTATTATTTATTTACAGCATCCCGTTTTCATCCACAAATGTTTTCAGATACACATAGACTCAGAAATATGCCCACATACCTTTCATCGAAAAGTGACTTATAGTTGCATCTCAGCTACCTGAGAAATGAATGAAGATAAACTGTGGAAGAGAGAAGTTATAATTTAAAAGGACTGGCAGTGAGGGATAAAACCATTTAAACTTGGAGTTAAGTCTAAATCACTAACTCTAGTTGTAAGTATTAATGAAAATGTTAAAAACAATACTCTTGTATTTAGAACCATCTCCTTTCTTACTTTGATCTAAAAATCCCAGCATGCATTAAGCCTGGGAATTGAATCAATGAAGGTTGGATGATAAGGGCAAAGATCATTTGCAGAAAATGAGCAAAGAAGAAACATGAAAGGCATTAAAATTCTAGGGAAGCCCCTGCAGGAAGCAACTAAAGCACCTGAGTTCAGATAATCCATAAAAAAATCAAGTTCCCCTCAAAGGACTTATCTGGCCATCTTGAAATTCAGATTTCATTGGCAAAACTGAGAACTCTGTATAAAGTGCGACTGAAGCTAAGAGGAAGGGCATGTTAGTGGGCCTAAGGGGAGCTTCCAGTAATAAACAGCATTAAAATGACAAGGACTGGCAGTACTGTTGCTCAAGGCCAGCTTCTTTCTCTGTTAAAAGGAGCCATGCGTCCGTTATCTCTGGTATCAAGGGACCTACCATTTTTCCCTCTGCAATTTTGGGAGAAGCCAAACTCATTGTGGCATATCACCACCATGAGAGTCTGTTTCAGCCTTGAAAGGGACACATGTCAACCACTGGAACTTGGAAAGATATTTGTTAAATAAAATTTCACAGATAAATGGTTAGAATGGAAAACTGTAAATATATCCGTGATTAAAGAAATGGAGGGAACAAGATGAGACCTAGCATCTTGGTTCACAGGGTTTGGCTTCTGCGCCACACTTTCCTCTGTTTTGAGGGCAGCAGACTGCCCTGTGCCTCACATGGGTGTCTGCTCTGTGTCAGTTAGAATTAGGTCCACCCTAGCTGGTTTTTCTTCTGTGTGAGGTGCCCTCTGGGTATTCCTGCTTCTCGAGCTGTGGTATATCTCTTGTTTGTTGACAGTTCCTCAGCCCTGCATGCCCTGTTGATCTGGTATGTCCACTTAATAGCAAGCAGAAATGCCACGTTTCAGGCAGACTTGCAGCACCTTCGTTCGCTTAGTTTCCAAGGCAAAGACAGATGTCCCCTGCTGTTTTTCTTTCTGCTTTTTCAGTGAGAATCAGGTGGGCCTTGTTTGTGGAAGGATCCCTAATACGACTTGTGTTCAGATCTCCATCCTGCCCCAACATTCTCCTTATTCTCCTGCGAAAGTTCTCTGCCACAAGCCTCATGATTAAACATTCCTTTTATCAAAACTACAATTTTAGAAGCTTTTCTGTACACTTTGCCTTTCCCTCATCGTCTGATTTGCATGTATTTATTATTCTAGGTTGGCAACAGAGATGACTCCAACCTTTATATAAATGTGAAGCTAAAGGCTGCTGAAGAGGTAAAGCCTAGACTAGTGCCAGCCCCATCCCAGCCCCCACCCCAGGTCCTGTTGGTTATCCCGTCTCTTTGTGCCCCTCCCCATAAAAACTTATCGCCCACTGCAGACTAGTTTATCTATTGTGCAAGTCAGAAATGGGAGACTTAGAGCTGCAGCCTCTGGTTTACCCTTGAATGTTTTCTAATCAGTAAACTGCTTACTTCCCAAAGAGCAAGAATAGTGGCCCGAAATTGCTTAAGTGCAGTGGTGACAATTAACAAGCAAATGATGAGTGAGTCCAAATGAGAGGCTAATTCTTCAGAACTTAGGTTGCAATGATGACCAACGCCACAGGGTTTGTAAAAGAAGTGGGCCCATGTGTCAAGTTCCTGTGCCAAATACCTTTTGTTTTAAATATTCATTTTTGCAGATTGGGATCAAAGCCATTCACATTAAATTACCAAGAACGGCCACAGAATCTGAGGTGAGCTTTTGGGAACTGAGTGTTAAGAGGACAGCTGACAGCTTTCCTCTCTGGTTTTTGGTTTAATGAAAATGTAGGGATTGATACATTCAGCATACAAAAGACCTCCAGGTAATTCTTTCTTCACAGACTGAGCCTCTAGAAAATCTTTGAAAATACCCACAAAGTAAATGGTACAGCCCTAGGGCATGAATGTTTGGTACTCAGAGTATGATTGTGGCATCATTTGCTTCCAAATCACCTGCAATGTTCAGTAAACACTGATCCTTGGCGTATAGTTATATGCACCTTAAAAACCAAACGTGTGTTTCGTGTACTTGTATATGATGCTCAAGAATACGCAGAACAAACCATCGGTGATTAAAGTCAGAAATGTGGTTGCCCGTAGGTAGAGGGATTAACTGTGTACGGGCAGGAGGGAAAAAGAGCTTCCTGCGGTCACGGAAATGTTCTTCACCTGCACTGTCCAATAGGGTAGCTGTTAGTGCCATGTGGCCATTTAATTAAAATGAAATAAAATTTAAAATTCAGTTCCTCGGTTGTACTAGCCACATTTCCGGTATTCAGTAGCCACTATTGTAAATTGTAATTATAGAGCAGTTCTGTTATCACAGAAATCCCAATTTGGATGATGGTAACATGGGTATTACTGTTGACGTTCTTAGCTCTTCCATTTGACGGATGTCTTACCAGACCCAGGAAGATGACATTCTGTGTGAAAGTGGGTTGCTCTCAGGATTCAAGGGGAGGTACATTCTGAGAGGACTACAATTAAACTCTTGGAGGGACATGGGGCAACCTGTCTTTTGACTTGAAAAGTCTTTCTCCACCCTTTTGATTTCTCTGTGGCATACAAATTGTATGTGGCATTGCTTTTAGGTGTTAAAGTACGTTACATCTTTGAATGAGGACCTCACCATTCACGGGTTCATAGTGCAGCTACCTTTAGATTCAGAGAATCTCATTAACACGGAAGCAGTGGTCAATGCTATTGCACCTGAAAAGGATGTGGACGGGTGAGTGTGGCTTGACTATCCTATTCACACTGCATGATTCTAATTCTAATGTGTTTCTATTTGGGGAACATTCCACATCTGCTTCTCGAGAGTGAAAACACCTAAGTTACCTTTATCTCCCCCTTCATTGCTTTCGCTGTTTTAGATTGACGAACGTCAGTGCTGGAAAACTTGCTAGAGGTGACCTAAATGACTGTTACATCCCTTGTACACCTAAAGGATGCTTGGAACTCATCAAAGAGACAGGTAAACAAACAAACAAACAAAAACAAAGCACCGTTTCTTAGAACCTGGTCTTGACATGTGAAGGTACATTGTGGGCCCTGTATAAACAGACTTGATTGGCACAGAACCTGTTTGCTGGGCGCTTTTCCTAAATTCTCACTTCGTTTTCTGAACAACCCTATGAAGCAGGTATTCTCTCATTGTTTGAAAGCTGAGAAAACAGGCTCAGAAAGATTGAGTAATTTGTCCAAGAGGCAGCACAGCCAAGATTTGAACTCAGAGTTATTTGAGTTCAAAGCAAATGATCTTTTGTGAAAAATAACCTATATGGCACTAAGAATTCAGATAGTATGTAAAGGTACAAAGCGAAAAGTCCCCACCCCCACCCCCGCATGGGCACCAAGTTCCCACAGTCGTTCTAGGACTAGACAGATGGCTGGAAACGATCTCTTAACAGTTGGCTGTGTTACCTCATTACCTAGTCAGCATCTTGGTACTTTAATTTTATCACAAATACTTTTAGCAGAGGTTATTTTTTACAAGGAAGTGTGTCCTATTGAAAGAAAGTAGATCAGGGGCCGGCCGAGTGGCGCACTGGTTAAGAGCTGGCTTGGGACGCCAGAGGGCCCCGGTTCGGATCCCACATATGAGGGCCAG